CTCGATGGTATATATTTTGCACACATAGGTATTTCTCAAGGGGTATTCATCCAGGAGTACATTTTGGAATCAAGTGAAAAGATGCTGGAAGGAAGAAAAAAAGAAGAAAAGGAGTCTATTTTCTCAAAGAATAGTATTCGTCTGGGGACAGAAGAAGAAATTTTCAGTTCCCTTGGGTCGATTTCCAGAACCAATTGTCGCGAATATATTTCTCATTCTGGTCATTTTGTATATTTCACAAAACAAACGGTGAATTCGTAAATTATATAAACGGCGCATTTCTATCTTTCGAAATTGTACATTTATACTATAAACTATTTATACTCGCAATGTTGTGCCATTTTTTTTTCATTTTTAAAATAAAAGTAAAAGTTTTCTTCAAAATTCACTTTTTATCAAAATCAAGAAAGGATGAAAATACTATTGTTTGTAACATTGAATTGAGAGTAACTATTTTCATAACAATTGCTAAATTCTATTTCAAATAATTGAATTCCTGTGAAAATTTTTTTATGAAAATAATTAAAAGTTTACGAAGTATTTTATAAACATTTTTTGTTAAATCATTCAATTTTTTTGGAAAATTTTTTATTAAAAATACTAGATATTAAAAATCATGAATTTGGAAAAATTTATGAAAATAATTAAATCGTTTTAAAGAATTTTATTAAAATTTTTTTAATTTTTTGAATTCTTTCCAATAACTTTATTTGAAATTTTTGAAAATAATTTATTTATTTCAACTGTTAACAAATTTAAAGTAGTTTAAATTCTCAAACATGGAAAAAAGGAGCTTTTAGTGTAACAAATAAAAAAAAGTATCCAAATAGTAGCAAATCGTTAAAAAAAAAAAAAGTAGTAAATAGTTGGTCTTTAGTAGATGAGTGCGAGGCCTGAGATCGACTCGTTTTGACACGTAAAGTGCAGAGTTAGACACTTTCAGAAATGAAGGCTGAAGGGTACATTTAGATGAACTTGGCTACATAAAACATATCCATAAACCTCGTAGGATTTCGTCTGTCTAGGCGAACGATATCCCATAGGAAAATACGTTCAAAAGTGATTTTGAATATTCTCCTCTCGTGTTCGTTTCATTTTCTCTCTATTTAGCCACTTATTATCATAATCGATGGTGTCTAGACGACCTGCAATGTTTGACCACACTCTCAGCGAACATTCGAAAATTAGGTAACATTAGATTAACCCTGATAACGCTCTTACTGTTCAGTTTTTTTTTACTGTTAATCGAAAGTAACCTAAATATTTCAAAATTCTTAAAAATTGGTCCTAGTAAATATTATAAAACTAACAAAAATTTCTACTTCTTACTATCTTTTTTTTAAATAAAATTAGCAATTTTAGAAATAATAGAATTTAAAAATTTTCTAATTTAATTTAAATACTATAAAACTAGCAAAAATTTCTACTTATACTTCCTTTTTTTTAAATAAAATTAGCAATTCTAAAAATAATAGAATTTAAAATTTTTCTAATTTAAATTTTTGTTGAAAACACTAAAAAAATTCAATTTTGGAGAAATTACAAAGAATTGCAGAAATTCAATTATTTTCCAAAAAAAAAAATAAAATTCTTATAAAATTCAACTATGTTCAAAATTGCAAAAAAAAATTCTCGTAAAAATCCCAATTATCTTTATAAATAACAAAAATCTTCTCCAAAGTTCAATTATTTTCATAAATCTCAAAAAAAAAATTCTTGTCCTAATTTCAATTATTTTCAAAAATAAAATGCATTTTTCTAATTTCAATGATTTTCGATATCTACTATTTTAATAAAATTTTCCAAAAATAATTCAATTATTAAAAAAAAAATTTAATAAAATTGTATGCAAACATTTAATTATTTTCATAAATAATAAAAATTTCACAGGAATTCAATTATTTTCATAAATAATAAAATTTTTTTAAGGAATTCAATTATTTTTATAAAGAATAATTTTAAATTCTAGAAAATAATGATTGAATTAAAATGATGAAAATAATTTTGATGAAGTTACAGTAACAATATTCTTATAATATAAAATAATGATTTTATCTTTCGGTCATCTTTAATTAATAGAAAACATGAAGAAATCGATCACTCTGAGTCTTCGACTCGGAGCAATCGATATCTTCATGTTTTATAACAATACTTTTATAAGTTGTTTAATTTAAAAATGGATTGAATTTAAAATTTTTTTAATGTCTTAATTCCTGTGGAAAATCCTGTTCCAAAAATAAGATTAAAAATAGAAATTGTGCAAATATTTTTCTTCTTTTTCCAAAACAAAATAATAATTTTGTTAAAAAAATTGTGATTCATAAAGAAAAATAATGAAAAAGAAATAAATTTTCTATTTCTTAAACACAGTTGTTTAACAATTTTCTAATTTTGTTTAAAAATAAAGAACAAAAATCTGCATGATTTCAATTTGACGAAACATTCAGTTTAACAAAATTTTAGTCTTCTAATGAAAATAAGTGAAAAAAAATTCTGATGATATCTATTTGTCATTACAATTTTGAATTAATTTTAATATACTTTATAATAATCGTAAGTTTCCTTTCTTATAGCAAATTCTCTGCATTAATTGCTTGTTTTGAAAATTAATTTTTGTGAATTATTGTCACTTTTTTTAATGTAAAAAAAAAGAAAAACCAAAAAAACTCGTTTTATTTACTTCACAAAATTGACAATTAACAAAAATTCAATTCCATATTTTTTATTTTCCTAAATTTTTCCTAATTTTTATCAAAATTATTTACTTTTTTCTTATCCTGCTAATAAATTGAATTCCTGCAACGAATTTTATTATTCATGAAAGAATTTAAAATATATTTTTAAAAAATAATTTAATTCTTACAAAGAATTTTATGAAAATTTTTAAATAATTCATTTCTTTCGAATAATTAAGCAAATTCTAATTTAAATAATTGAATTGATGAAAATTTGTATTATTCATGAAAAGAATTGAATTCTTACAAAAAATTTGTACAAACCATTTTTTAAATAATTGAATTCTGTTTGGAAATTTTATGAAAATAGTAAATATTGAAAATCATTGAATTGCGAAAAGTTTTTAAAGATAATTAAATTTTACAAAGAATTCGATTAAAAAAATTTGGCCAATAATTGAATGTCTGTGGAAAATTTTATTAAATTTTTTTGAAAATAATGAATTCCTAAAAAACATTTTATTATTTATGAAAATAATTGAATTTCTGAGAAGAATTTTATTATTTATAAAAATAATTGGATTTTTCAATTAATTAATTTAAAATACTATTAAAATTAATTGAAATTTTTCGAAGAGTTGTATTATTTAAGAAAATAATTGAATTCTTGGGAACGATTTATTCGAATTTTTTAAAATAATGAAATTTCCAAGAAGAAATTTATTACTTGTAAAAATAATTGAATTATTGTGATAAATATTGTTATTTATAAAAATAATTGAATTTTGAAAAGAATTTTATTAAAATACCTTAAAATAATTGAATTTTCCGGAGTAATTTTCTTATTTATCCACATAATTGAATTCTTTTGAAAAATTATTTGTGTAAATAATTGAATTCTTAGAAAAAATATTAATTATATATAAAAATATAAATTTAAAAAGTAATTGAATTATTTCAAAAAAATTTAATTAAAATTGTATTTAAAACAATAAATTTTTTTCGAACAATTTTACCAAATTTTTAAAAATAATTATTCAATCCTTCCAAAAAATATAAAAAAAACATTTTTTTAAATAATTGATTTTTTCGAGGAATTGAAATTAAGTTTTTAAGAATAATTACATTTTTCGATCAATTCCTGTAAAATTGTATTAAAAATAATTGAAATCCTGCTATGAATTTTATTATTCATGAAAATAATTGAATAGTCGCTAGGAATAAAATTAATTTTATTATAATTCTCAAAAATAAGTGAATTACAGAGAAAAATTTTATTATTTTTTAAAATAATTGAATTATTGTGGAAAAGTTTATTAAAATGTTTAAAAAGAATTGAATTTCTGTGAAAAATTTTATTATTTTTGAAAGTAATTTAATTCTTCATAAGAATTTTATGAATTTTGTTTCAAAAAATTAATTTTTTCGAAATATAATAAAGATGAAAATTTTATTAGTTTAAATAATTGAATTCTTGTGGAAAACTTTATTTGTGAAAATAACTTAATTTTTCGATTAATAACTTTAAAATAGTATTAAAAGTAATTGAAATTCTTCGATGAGTTTTATTATTTATGAAAATAATTAAATTCGCATGCTTAGAATTTAATCAAAAATTTTTTTAGAAAATTGAATTTCCATGAAAAATGTTATTATTAGTGAAAGTAATTGAATTATTGCGAAGAATTGAAAATAAATTTTGTTAAATAATTGATTTTTTTGAAATTTTTTTTTTAATTAGCGAATTAAAAGTAGTGGAAATTCTTTAAAAAAATATTATTTATATTCTTTGTTTAGAAAGTTGAATATATAATTTTTTTACCTTCTCTATTCTTCAGAATAATTAAAATTTTCGTAATGAAGATTATTTTTAATGCAGGTATCAAATAACAATTTTTGCAAAATTCAATTTTCCTAAGAAAGTTTAATTATTTTCAATTTTGAAAATCTGATGTCAAATTTTGAAATTAGTATCAAAATTTGTTAAAGGTTTTTATAAATTTTAAAGTTTAAAATTTAAAAATATAATGTACAGTCGAACCTGGATAAGCGAGAGTTCAAGGGACCAGCAATTTTCTCTCGCTTATAGAGGTTTCTCGCTTATCCAGTTCTCTCTTATCCAGGTTCGACTGTAATTTGAAAATTTAATTCTAATTAGTTAAACAAAAGACAACTTCAGAGTAAATGAGGGACTGAAAAAGTGAATGAATGAAAGAACATTCAAATTATTATAGTTAATTTTCAAAAAAAAAGGTAATGAAACAAAAACTTCTCAGAAAAAGAAATGAAAAGTTTCTGAATTTTTTTTTATTTCCCTTTTTGCAGAATAGCTTTCCTGTCAAATTCAGCGTCTGAAGATTCCCAGGTTACGGGGGTGGTAGCTGTACACGCATAATAGAGGGAGACAGCGAACGAGCGAGCAAGCGCAAATTAACCTGGGTAATGAAAACACAATGAAATTATAATAAACCAATTGCCGGGTTGATTCGAAGTCAGGAAGGAGGCCATTCAATAATAAAACACGTACCCACCTACCGTACATATTCTCCTACGTTGAGAATTAATTTCTCGAGAGCCTTTATGCTCTCCGACTGACCAAACGTTACTATGTCCCAACCACATACGTGAAAAGCAAAACGTATACACTTGCCCATAATTTCCATGTGTGTACATAAAACCCGCTCCTCGGAAGTAAGAGCCCAATGTGTATATGAATTCAAAATGAAAATACTTACGCGAAAACGGTTTTATACTAAGTACATGCGTTAATTTTCTAAAAACATATCAGAATTTCAATTTTTTTTTAAGATTCTTTTATATTTTTTGTTTTCCTTTAATTACGAATCTAAATCGATAAAAATATTCGAAAATAAAAATATACTATTATTAAATGTTTACTTTTAATAATAGTGCGAACATTTAAATATTGATTTTCTTATTCATTTAATTCAGTAAAGAAAAATAGATATAAATAATTTTCCAGGAAATAGAAAATTAAAATGAATCTTTCTTTTCATTGTCGACTAAAACAAAGTGTCAAATAAAAAAAATCTATAAATTTTATAAAACTATTTTCTAAGAAATAAAATTTGATACGTTCAACTTTTAAATAACCGATAATGCATTAAATATGATTATAAAAGTGAATTGCAATTATGTTAATTTAATAATTAACAGGACATCGTTATTCCACTGAGTTGGATATTAAGTGATAAAACTAATAAACCGAAAATAATTTTTAATGGCCTCATTAATATTTCATTACAAAATGGAATAAATTTCAGAAAAAATTAATCCGATTGGTTTTTATAAAATTACCAAGAATAATTAGACATTAAATTAAAGAATAAAAATTGAAATAGTTTTTTTTTTAAGTTAATCCAGACTTTGCAATCGATAATTAATTTTAAAAAAAGTAGCAAAAAGTAGCTTTCAAACTGAAGAAGGTAGCTATAAAAATTAAAATTTTTGACAATAATTAAATGTCTGTGTGACATTTTATTAAATTTTTTGGAAAATAATTGAATTCCTAAAAAGAATTTTATTATTTATGAAAATAATTGAATTCATGCGAACGACTTTATTAGAATTCATTAAAATAATTGAATTTCCAAGAAAAAATTTATTACTTTTAAAAATAATTGAATTCTTGTGATGAATATTGTTACTTATGAAAATAATTGAATTTTCCAAAGAATTTTATTAAAATGCCTGAAAAATAATTGAATTTTTGGGAATAATTTTGCTATTTATCTTTAATAATTGAATTCTTTCGAAGAATTATTTATGTAAATAATTGAATTATTGCAAGAAAAATTTAATTAAAATTTTATTTAAAATAATTGATTTCTTTCAAATAACTTTGTTAAAATATTTGAAAATAATTGAAATCCTGTGAAAAATTCTAATATTTTTGTAAATAATTGAATTCTTCCAAACATTTAAAAAAAACACTTTTTTAAATAATTGATTTTTTCGAGGAATTGAAATTAAATTTTTAAGAATAATTACATTTTAAGAGCAATTTCTGTAAAATTGTATTAAAAATAATTGAAATCCTGCGAGGAATTTTATCATTTATGAACCAAAGTGATTAGTTAAAAATTTTATTAACATTTTTCTAAAATAATTGAATTTTGGAGAAAAATGTTATTATTTATAAAAATAATTGAAATTAACAAGAATTTTTTTTAATTTTTGAACATAATTGAATTTCTGCGAAAAATTTTATTACTTTTCAAAATAATTGAATTCTTGAAACGAATTTTATTCAAGTTTATAAAAATAACTGAATTTCTGTGAAGAATTTTATTATTTATATTTAAATAATTAAATTCCAACGAATTTTATCCAAGTTTATAAAAATAATTGAATTTCGGTGAAGAATTTTATTATTTATTAAAATAATTGAATTCTTGAAAAGAACTTTGTTAAATTTTTTTTAAATAATTGAATTTTTGTGACGAATTTTATAAAAATCTTTTTAAATAACTGATATTTTTCGAAAAATTCCAGGGAAATTTTGCATTTTGAATAATTGAATTTCTGTGAAAATTTTATTACTTAATTGAATTATTTCGAAGAAATTTATTAAAAAATTTTTAAATAATTGAATTCCAGGGAAATTTTGCTAAGAATTTTATATTAAATTTTTTAAAAATAATTGAATTTTCAATAAGGATTTTATTATTTATAAAAATAATTGAAATTTTGACGAGATTTTTTTTTTTAATTTTTGAAAATAATTGAAATTTTTAGAAGAATTTTTATAACTATTGAAAATAATTGAATTTCTGAAATCATTTGTATCTTTTCCAAAATTCAAATTTTTTTTAGTCACAAAAGTAAAGTTTTCAATAAAAAAAATGGCGCCATCTGACTTTAATTTTTATCTCGAGACCATAAAAAATTATCAATTTCCAACTTCAGACCTTCTCGTACACGTGCGCGAGAGAAATTATAGAGATGCAAAAACTAATTAAAAGACAGAGGAATATAATTAATTTTTCTAATAATAATTCTTGCCACGTTATTATTTTACAAATGGGGGTTTTACTCTTCTCTGAGCCTACACCACTCGCACTCTCTTTAAGGGTTGAAATAATTTCATAAGGGCAAAGCGCAAGAGATGAAAAAGGTGGGGTTTGAGTTTCCCAAATCTACATTTGGCAAAATATAACTCCCGTTTTCTACCACCCTCGTTTCTGACCGCGTCCAAGCCACAACAAAGACTACCCTCCTATCTGTACGGCACCTTCAAAAACCCTCCATTCCCCCTTTCCACCCTCCTCCTTTCCTACTAAACACACGCAATTGTATTTCCTTCTGAAATTTCCCTTATTGGCCGCACTTTACAATCGAACATTGAAATTCACTTTGACTTTTGGTTAACAATTTCCTAAGGGAGGTCATTCATTAGAAACTTATTTGAAATAGTGTATATCAAATATGGTATTATTTTACCAAATGTGTACGAAAAGCATACGAGAATATTAATGAAACATATTATTTACTCTAGAAATAATTATTCTATTTTATTAAGTATTTTTATGGGGTTTTTTTCCTAACTAGTTTCTGTCAGGGGCGGTTAGACTAAGTCATCGCACTCATCTACTAAAACCTACTAGTTACTACATTTACGTTATGCTACTATAAGGGTATTTTTTTAGATTTTAGCCACTAAAAGACCCGCTATTATTTCTGTTTTTTTAAAAATATCAAATTCTTTAAAATGATTCAATTATTTTCAAAAAAATATTCGAAATTCAATTATTTTCAATATCTAATATTTTCATAAAATTTCGCAAAAAATTCAATTATTTAAAAAAAAAATTGATAAAATTCATCCAAAATTCAATTATTTTCATAAATAATAAAATTCATCCAAGAATTTCAATTATTTTTAATACTATTTTAAAGTAAATTAATCGGAAAATTCAATTATATTCGCAAATAAAGTTTTTCACAAGAATTCAATTATTTAAACTAATAAAATTTTCATATTTATTATATTTCGAAAAAATTCATTATTTAAAACAAAATTCATAAAATTCTTATGAAATATTCAATTATTTTCAAAAATAACCAAATTTTTAACAGAAAATCAATTCTTTTTAAACTTTACTACTTTTATGTTAAAAACTACTATTTCGGTATTTTTTTTTAAATTTCAGCAAAGTTTGAATCAGATAAAAGTTAGGAAAAAATAAAATTAAATATGTTTTTATGCTATATTTATTAATAAAAATTCTCCAATGGATTGTTAAAAAATATTATTTTGTATTAAAAATAGTATTTGAAGAAAAATAAATTATCTTTTAATTCCTATTTACGGTTTTTGAAGAATTATCATTTTTTAAATTTTAAAATGAAAACCTTATCAAGCAGACTTTGTAATGGAATATGAAAGTGTCATGAATCACAGATCGCGAATCACCAGATTGGAGATACACTTTCAACCGGGTCCTAATTTAGAGAAGGAGATGGTTGTTCAAAAAGGAGGAGGTGGAAAGGTGGTGGCAGGGGGCAGGGGGGGTGAAAGGGGTACAGTAGCACAGGGTAATATCAACTCCGCGCCATATTGCTGATTAACATATGCATCCAATACTAGGGGCTCGCTCAAATGCAAACACGTCAAGCCGGGAGCTATCTCTTCTCGAAACATTGTATACAACATATAAACTATAATTTCAAAACGCTATATTAAAGGTCGACTCTCATTCAGTGACAACTCATCTGCAATTTACTTTTTTCTTAAATTATCGCAATAAAAACCTAAAATAAAAAAGGAGAAAAATTCCTAATTTTCCTCAACCATTATAGATTCGTCTTTTTACAACCTAGAACATCCTATAGAAAAACTAACTTTGCAATTCTGGCTTTGACGCCCTCGATAATCCAAGCATACCACAAAGAGATGTTCGGGGTTTGCTCGTAGGACGACGAGAAAGAGAAAAAGAGAGAGAAAGAGAGAGAGAGAGAGAAGGAGGGAAAAGGTATATGGACGAAAGGCAAATGAACGAGTCTCTCTCCATGAAAGGAACTCGTACAGATCCGGGAAACCCCATACGAAGGGAGGGGAGGGGGGATTTTTCCCCGCGACATGGACCGGCCACCGACTAATTGGAATTCGTCCGTAGTAGTCGAAGCGCCTTTCTATAATTGAGACGCAGCCAGACCGGCGAAATAAAAAAAACAAAGCCGATGGAGGATACGATCTCGCTATCTCTCACTGAGAACATTTTTATCCAAATACTTGCAAGGTACATTCTATATTGTATTGAATTACCAGGAGTCTTTCATATTTTTTTTTTTTTGGTTTAGATCTCAAAAATAATTATAACGCAGGGAAATTTAATATTATTCATGTTGAGAAAATATTTTACAACAAGGAAGTGAATAGGTATTAATAAATAGGAGAAAAATATATTTAATTTTAT